CCGACCGAGTCTAGGTGGGCCGTCTGCGCCATAATCGCTGTGTCTCCCAGGGGGATGTATTCCGTATTCCAGCTTCGGCCGACTGGGGGGGTTGGCTCACCCTGTTCAAAGAATGGCTCCTCCTCCTCGAACGATTGTTCTATGTCGATCAGTTCTGGCATACTGGAGTGTGTTCGATTGCTGTCGCTACTCTGGGTTTCGACGTCTTCGAACCAGTCAAATCCCTCAGCTGGGGTTAACCCTACGGCGCCCAAATCTAATTCTTGGAGTGGCTCATCATTATCGGTATTCAGCTCCTCATGGGCTTCGAAGTCGATCGCGACAGCATGTGTAGGGATTCCGGGAGGTCTGGTGTTTCCCTCACTCCTTATGGAATTTGTAGAAGGACAATCCTTGGATATATGTCCCTCGCGCTTGCATCGGAAGCATTTCCCTGCTTTGCGCAGTTCGTCTAGCTCCTTTGGGCTCAATTGTGCCGGTATCTTCTTTTCCTGGTTTGTTCGACCGGGGGGTTTAGGGTTGCCGGGCCCAGCATTGGACGGTGTCTTGGAATACTTCGAGGATGAGGACTCGTTGTTGTTGCGCCCCCTGTCTCCTCGGTTGTTGTTGCCAAAACGGGCGCCTTTATTACCATTTCGGCCACGACCCTGTTGCCCTCCCTGTCCTTCGCCAGGGGAATTGTTAGAGCTTTTGGGAGCGCGGTTGCCTGCTCGTCCGTGGCGGGCGTTCTCGACCACTTCTAGAAGCTCAGCCCTCTCTACTACCTCATCCCAGGATGAGATGTTTGGGTTGAGCTTCTCTCTGTAGAGCTCGGCCCTGATCTCAGCTTTAAAGCCATTCCAAAGCTTCACGACCTTCTCCTGCTCGCTCACGGAGCCGATCACATCGTATTTTTGCTTCAATTGGGCTGAGTAGTCTCTAACGCTAAGATCTCTTTGCCATAGCCGATCTATTTCCGACCGTGTCTGCTCTAATAGGTCCACTGGAAAGCAGGCATTCATTAATCCTTCGAAAAACTCCCGAAGCGTCCATATTCCAGGGTTCATAGAGACCTGTTGAAGATAGTAGTCGTATGCGCGGCCTTTTAGGAAGGTAGCGAGTTTACGAACGCGGAACTTCTTTTGGACACCACCTTCTTTCAGATAAGCAGTGCCGTCGCTTACGAAGCGGTAGAATTGGGTGAGATCAGCCTTCCCATCGTATGCCTCAGGCGGGGTTGGCTTTAGATTAGATTTTCGTTTCGACGATCTCTTGGGATTACGTCGTTTCGATTTTCTAATTCCAATTGAGCTCTCGTCGGAACTACTGGATTCGCCACTAGAGCTAGAGTCAATAGGACCCTCGCTGGAGGAGGAACTCGGGTCGTCATCAGAAGAATCATCACTCGTTTTGTTTTTACGGCGACCCCGTTTCTCATCAACAGACTTCAGCGCTCTTCCCAAGAAGCTATTGGGCGGTATCTGAGAGCTTGGTAAGAAACCTGCTTTCTCATCCTTTTCTTTGGCTGATCTTTTCTTAGGCTTTGGTTTTGGTCTCGCTGTAGATTCTTTGATCTGATGTCTAATTCCATCAGTCAAGGGAGTTCGGGAAGTTCGGCGATTTCTTAACCGCTCGTTTTCTTTCTCGAGTTCATCGAGGCGCTGACGAAGGTGATCCCGTTCGTCCTCAACGTTGGGAGGCTCTCTCCGAATCATATTGGCACGGGAACGGGTCAGCCCAGGGCGAGCTTTATCGGGAACTGGGTTTTTATCCTTCGTCAGCCTCCAGAGCTTGAAGGCCGCGGCTTGTGCCGCCGGATCGAGGTCATCTTCCTCGAAGTCAACGTTGCCCCAATTGCTCGGGTCAATGTTCTTCCCTTTAGCACTAGCCGCAGCGGCGGTGGTGGTTCCTACTCCAGGCCCTGGAGTCAAAACAACAGGTGCAGCTTCAGACCTATTATCTAACGCTGCGTCGCGGCGTGCGAGCCTTTCTCTTTGTTGATTACTTAGATTATTGTAGGCAGAACCAATAGTATTCAGCTGCTCCCTATTGAGGGTGCGGCGTCTGTCTACAGAGGATGCGCTGTGTGATCTACGATTACGACGAGTCACCGTAGTCCAGGTACTCGACTCGTCGTCGTCATCAGGCGCGTTGTCCTGGACACCACTCTGGGTGAATTTCTCGCTACTCTGAGCGGCCTCCTGACCAGATCCGGCAACCGGAGGGTCCACTGGAGGTGGGGCTGGCCCGAAGGTCTCAGCTGGGTTGCGTGCGGCCGCCACGTCCGAATAACTTCGACGGGACGCCGCAGAGGCAGGTCGACTAATAGTTTCTACAAGGGGTTCTTCAGCGCTAGCATCAGTGAGCTCAGACTCACTAGGGTTTTGGGCATCCTCGACACGAGGCTTGCGGCTTCGCAAGCCGTAGCGTGATGATACGGGGATACGGGATGACATCAAGATCTAGATAAGATAATGATCAGTCAAATTTTTCGGGGGGTGACTTAACGTCTGTTTTTGGTGTAGGGAAACTGTTTGAAGGGGGGGTTGCCGAGGATTCTCAGTGGGCCAAACTGAGGGGGACCTTTTAGGCGTGGGTGAGAGAGAATAAGAAGTTTGTGTCGAACGGTTGGGGGGAGCTTTCAAAAATATGTAACGCGGGGCGTGGGGAAACGGTCGCGTACACGAGAGAGGGGAGAGTTAGGAGTCAGTCCGCAAAGGTGAAAGGTTGTAACCGTTCTCGTTCAAGGGGACTCCGTCCCTCTACGTAGGTACAGGCGAAGTATTTATACGTAGCTAGAGGGTGATAATAACAAGTACAAACTACGGCGAGACCATATGAACGGGGCAGAGGGTAGCGGGCCTGTAGGCTGGCGAGCATATGGTAAAGGGAGGGAGATGAAACAAGGGGGAAGAGGGGAAGTCCAGAAAGGGAATGTGAGCGTCACAACAACGGCGCTAATCATCTAACCACTGTGTTTGGGGCTACCGCGAAACGGGGGATTCTAAACATAACGAATGCATAGTTATAAGACACAGGGCGGGTTCCAATGACTCCCCTTCTACACCAAACCTAAGCTCACTGTATCCCATTATATCAACACCAAAGAACATGGCCACGAAAGCAGCAACTCAGTGGGTTTTTTCGTCCTTGTGCCTTCCATATACTAAACTTCTTGAACTCTACTCAGTTACCTTCAGTTCGACATACAATGGTCCAGCATCGGTACGTACTCTTGAGCATGAGCACGGAACCTTGACGAAGGCTGATACTCTACTCAGCACTTCTATTTTACGACTACGCTCTAACGTTTCCCCTGGAAGTCAAGTACATCTGGGGGTCAAAAGTCCGACTCTCGACAACTCTGTACATCTTTTGTCGATACGCCTTGGTGGCCAATGTCCTCTACCTCTTAGCTATCGCCAATCGGCTCAAACAAAGGGTACGTCTATTCCGATTGCCCCAGTTCCCAGCCACGTGCTGACAGAGATGTACTTAAACCCCAGTCGGCCCTCCTTTTGCCGGCATGTCCTCTCGCTTCTGACTCACTATCTTCCATGGCGTTAGCTGCGACACGTGGTACAAGATAATCGGCGCGTTGAGTGTCCTCGGGCGAACAGCTGTGATAGGTACACCGACTCCTTGCTGCATGTTGGGAAGACTCGCGCTGACCGTGGTGACTGTAGTAACTTTCACGGGGAGAACGTATGCGATATACGCGAGGAATACGTACATCTTAATTTATCTGGGCCTCATCGGCACCGCTTGTATTGCGTTAGACATCGTGAGCACGGCTTATCAACGTGATCATCCTTATTCACTGACTTCAGTTGACATATGCGCAGGCACACGTTCCGGGTCTTCGGTGTGTGGGCTCGTCAAGCAACCCCTTGTAAGCTGTCGCTCGATACCCCTGTTTGTGAGTGACTACTGATCGATTTTTTATGTTTGTCCCATCTGAAAGAGGTAGGTTCATGTTCCAGTTGTCAGACAACAACCGCTAACCATTTCGACAGCGAATCTATTACTCTCCATCCTGATGGTTGTCTTCGAATATTCCTCCGCTATTCTCACTATCACCCGAAGCCTTATGGCTTTCAAAGTCGGCAGAAGGAAGGGACGCTCGAAAGGCCTCATCAACATTATCTTTGAGCAAGGTGTTCTTTATTTTAGGTATGCGACATTCGGCGTTTTGATATGAAGGGATTCCTGATACCTCACAGCATTATTTCGCTCTTCACCACGACAGCAGTTATATTGAATGTGGTGGGTTTCCTGGGCAATGACTATCTTACCAGCCAAGGCTAACGTAGTTCGCTCGCAGGAAGCACCTGTAAGTATGACGACTCTCGAAAGCGACCTTTCTCAGGTGCTTACCTGTTGATGGTAGGCTGGGTTCTTCCAGCGGTTGCTCAACGCCTACACACTCCCGTCAGTCCATCACCATCTTCGTTGCCACCACAGCCCAAGATTATCTACTGACAATAAGCTCGCCAGGCTGTCGGGGTTACTCACCGCTCGATTCTTACTGCACATCCGAGCCTACGAAGATAAGGAACACTCGCGTGCATTGGCTGCGCAGACTAGAACGGGCACCTTGCACTTTGATACCTTGACCACTCTAGCGAGCTTTCGCGCGGCTGCGGGAGACGCCATATCGAGTATGGTCGATCAGTTTGGTGGTGATCCTGTCGAAGCAGCCCAGCGCCAGATGCAGGCTGAGTCAGACACAACAGCCGCCGCTGAAAATTCATATCAAAGGACGAGTGAATGGTCCCTAGTTCGTTCTGAATCAGAAAGCACACCAAATCCCTCTGGTTCTTCTTTGGTAGTCTGAATGATGACGAAGTAAATTAATCATAGAGTGTATCCCGTATCAAACATGCTGTATTTTATTTATCAAGTCAGCTGCACCATCTGTATTCATTATATATTTATACATTACTCGAATGTGAAGCACGAATGCACCGAATCTAGGCAACGCGGGTGCAAAAAGCCACGGGCCTCATGTACATAAAAGATACATCGAACGGGAGTCGAACCCGTGCCGCTTGCTTACACTGAAAGGATAGGCTGGAAGGCAAGCATGATACCGTTTCACCATCGATGTCTGATACACAGAGATCGTTGAGGGCTTCCTCTATCGGTTTGTGCCCGATAACATCAAAACATCCAAGCGCAGTCACTGTGTCAATATTCTGGTCTTTCAAAGAAATGCCTCAAAGGTGGTGGCTCTATAGCCTTGTGACCAAACCTCTATGGGTGGCAGCAGCCGTCCAGCAGGTCAGACAAGGGGAAGTAGATTAGGCGCCCTCGCCTTCCCTGCACCCTCCATTATGGAATCAGTTTGGGGAAAGCCCCAACACCCGTTCTACTGACTTCCTGATTCGATACGCACATGCCGAACGAATGTCTGAACTCGAACTCGTGAGTCAAGTCTCTACTTGCCGTATTTGAGCTCGGCGAGTATCCATTTGATCCACCTGTAGACGTCCTCTGGATATATAATATACTGGAATGTGTGGTTAAATGGTGATACATCAACGGCCGCAACTGTGGCACTGCTTGATATATCCGCTCGCCTTACTGAGATTACCTAAGCCATCCTAATGGGGCTGCAGCCTCGTCGTCGTTGCTCGCAGCCTGCGCCCTTTCCCAAATAGACCTTACGCGCTTCATTCCTCCATATGGGTGGTATCGACTCGCTGGATCTTCAAGCGGCCCGCCATCATTCATTAGAGTAGATGGAGTACCTAGATTCGCTCAAGAACGGTAACGGACACGCCAGAAAAGGTGCAATCTCATCTATAGGTATGCCTATTCATGCTCTATGCGCGTGTGACATTCAACTAGGGGCTGCCCCACAGTAACCGCACCTTCGCCCACAGCCAAAAACTGTGCCGTGTTTAGCCACGCCTGTTGACACCGGGCTATTAGTGTCTGGCGTGTGGCATGCTGGCGCCATGCATATGCCCGGGCACCCGCACTGGTTGCGTTGTCTGCGCGCCTCTCCCATACATTCGCTTGCCACCTGTGAAACTGGATGACGCGGCGCATCTCCTCTGCGAGTAGTATGCATTCTTCTTGCCATCGATGTGCCCTTGCACGTGCTTTACACCATTCGATCCTGAGGGCTTTAGGTTTCATCAGTACCGTAGGATATATAACCACGTAGACTGGCAGGCCTGCGTGATATATAACACGGCAAACCTTACCTTCGTTCATGCCTTCGTTTAGCTCCGCGGCATCCCTTTGCTCAGCTGACCAAATCCACGACAGAGTCCGACGCCCCTCTGAATTGCCGGTGTCCTCTCCCTCCTTCAGACTACGTATATCACCATCGAGCAAAGGCTGAAGTGATGCCTCCCATTCCGATCCTTTTGCCAAGGCGGCGGCAAGAGCAACTAGTGCCAATCGGGTAGCTCGATACCTGCTGCTCGCATAGTTGACACGGGCCTGAATTTTCTTGACAAGGGAGACACTCCTGGTATTGTGCTTTTGGCCTCGGGAATACTGATCTTTTGATTGATACATAGTGCTAAGAACCAAGAGGAGTCGGCGCAGCTCGCCGAGGATGTCGAACGCCATTCCGTAGCGCAAGCGCCACTCGTATTCGCTAAGCTTACAGTCGCATCGAGCCGACTCGCCGAGCTCGGAAGGCAGGAAAAGCTTCATATCTTCAGCCAGAAGGGTTACGCCGGCACTTTCTTCGGCCCTATTACGGAGAGGAACTACACCCGGTATGTAGAGCTCTTGTATACGACACCACGCCACAATTCGTCGCTGAAGCCGTGTCCGTCGTTCAATGAGCTGTGATTTTTGGTGCTCGGTGGCGTGAGGGCCCAGAGTCTTCGAGTCCAGAGCTAATCGGACTTGCTGGTCCTGGAGTTCCAGGCCTTGTGATATCAGGACGCTAGGACTGACGCTGTCGTGTATAGTAAGGGATTCATCTCGCGCAACGGCTGCCGCATCTTCCTCCGCCAACTGCAAACGGACTTTTGACTGTGACTCAGCCTGCAGCTTAGGCTCGTACGGATTAGTGGCTGAGGTGCCCGATTCAAATGCCCAGATGGCGCGAGAAAACACTAATGTTGTCTCTGTAGGCAGTGATTCGCTGAAGGCGACGAAGGCGGCAACGTGTTCGGATCGCATAGGCACGGCTTCTTGAAGTCGCCGAAGAAGGGTAGCATCTATGTGATTATCGTCAGATAGCAACCATGGCGAAGCTTGTCAAAATAGACTCACGCAATGATATAACCTTGCGCCAGTTATAGTCCCCGAAGTGGTCATCCAAAGTATCGCGACGTGCACCTGGCCCCATTTCTTTGGTACTACTGGATACCGGGTTCATTGCTGCCCACCCACGTTCTGGTGCTTCTCCATCAGTCCGTCCGACATTGGGTGTGAAGTTGAAAGAATAGTTATTTTGACATTCACTCCGGTGAGCGTAGAGGTGAAACTTTGGGATCAGATATGTGAAAGTGAGTTGGTCGTACCGAGAGCCGAGGAGTTCCTTTGGATATGCGGCGGCTCGGGCCGCCAATCGACGAGTCCATTGACATACAATGTCATATGAGACGACACAGTGAGCAGGTGCGTGGTTGCGAATACTCGAAAAATATAAATAGTCCATGTTGTCATACCTGAAATGAATAAGTAATCATGTCGAAATCATGAGTCATATTACTGACCGCTCGCCACGCTGTAAGTCCCCAACGGAAAGTGGACGTTTCATGTCATGCCGCGCACACTCTATAGCACCCACCCCGCTTGCCGAGACCCCATTTCCACCACGAATACTTGCTAGCTTCACTGCGTCGTAGTTGTTGCAGGTGCTAGGCTCGTCGGGGACCAAGTCACTGACAGTGGCAAGGTAGCTCTTATATTTCTTCTCTTCTACGAAGTAGGCATAGCCGTTGTTGAGGCCAGGATCGCGTTTGTCGTCAGATGCAGATAAGCGTTTGAGGCGAAAATTAGCATCGATTGCCAAAAAAAGCGAATATATCCAGCTGCGACAGGTTAGCGAGTGAGTAATATATATTAATGTTCAGACACACCCTTTTGTGAGAGGTTCGTTCTTCCACTGATCGGGAAGATTGATCCCGGGGTGGGGACATGCGGGGCACAGGACAGCACATTCGCCTTCACCCGTGCCTGCAACCCCAGAATGTTCGTGGCCACGGCCGAACCGTTTGAGGAGTCGGATGTGACGCCATTGGCGCACTATGCGCATGAAGATCTGATAGCGATCCTACAGCAAAGGTCGGCAAGGGCAACAATAGCCGGTCAAGTCACTTACAGTTATCGGTTCGCCAAGATTAGAAGTAAGCCGGACTAGGGTCTGGTAAAATTCATAGCCCGAAACCTTGGAGCCAAAAGAAAGTAACTGGAAGAGCCTGAGAACTTCAAAAGTAGCCGCGGTGCGAGGCTCTATGATAGACGCGGGGAAAAGCCGCGCGCGGAGGAGTTGTGCAGACCGAGATATTGACATGTGGCAGTCGCAGAAGTCAAGATTGACCAACACGATGCCATGCGAGCATATAACGTGGAACCCACCGACGAATGCGGGGGTAGGGTTCAGGCAACGCTCGCCGATTGGGTGCCCTAGTTGTATGCGAAGTCCCAGGTCCCGGAGCGTGCAGCGCTCAAAGAAGCGAGTGTTCCACCTCTACTTACAGGGTAGTTAGCAAGATGTAGCAATGCGCAATATATATGCTGACTTCTACTTGATGAAACGGGTTCACGTAGTGACGTTCTCTGATACATCCTTGGCAGAATAGCCGTATATCGTGGCACTGGGGACATCGGAAATAATCCAATGCTGGCTCTTCGCAGCCAGGGCATTGATAAGCGTCCAGATTGCAGTGAGGAGCCTCAAGATTGAGGAACTCCTCGATGAATTGGTCCCTTTCGTCCCTCCAAATCAACATCGGGTTATCCTGTGGGCGGCGTGTCAGTGTAGCTGCCTCTTACGTTAAGAACTGACTTACCCCTGCGAATGTACGCTTCCGCATTCGTGATCTCAAAGTTGGATCAACGAAGTCACTTTCATCGTCGTTGTCATCGTGTTCTGTGGCCCCATAGTCTACCATTGAAGGAAAGTCTGGTTCACTTGCAGGGAACTCGTCCATGGCTGCCGATGCAGGAGCAGGTATTGGAGCGGGGAGAGCACTGGTGGTGCTGTAGTATGAGCGCCTCACGGCGATCCTTGTCAAGGCGATCGAGTAGTCGGTGTGACGGTGCATCGTTTGTGGTGATAGGCGGGAGCGAGCATCCTGCTCAAAGGTCTCAAAGGTCTCCACGTCAACGGCAGATCGTTTGCGACGGCCCATTGTTACTCACCTCCCAGAGACAAGAGTCCACATCATATAGACCCAGCACAGGGCACCAGGCGACCATGAGTTGAGCTTCGTCGAGGGCCAGCCTGTGAAGAAGATAGCGGATGCGACTCACAGTCGATAGTGTCTTCATTTCATTGTCTCTTCTCACAACTACAAATTAATTCCCACAGTTAGATTGTGAACATGCGGTGCCTCAGTACAAGGAACAGGGGATAGGGGAGGCTACTCGAAGTCGGAGTAATAGTCATCGACATCGGAGTCCGGTTCGTCTTCAAATGCAACTATGAATTGGTGTTCTTTAGGAATGCCCCCTCCTCTTCCTAACCATTCCTGCCGCTAATGAACCCATTGTCAATAAGCATGCCATGGCGGGAGAATTTACTACGCACTCGTCTGCCGCGATCTGCAGGAAAGGTAAGGTGATTCTTCCAGTCATCGGTGCTCGCGGCTATGTGACGGTACCAACGGTTCGTTTGCACCTGTACCACGATTTCGAGAAATGCCTACATAATTTTAGCGGGACAGTGGTTATTACAAATGGTACACTTACCTTCTTCTCCATGTATAGAACCCTTTGATACTCGTGGGTCAGCGGATTGCCTGGTGGTGGTGGAAACCTGTCGAACATGATTGCCCATGCTGCCTGCATGAACATTGGCACTTCTCCTTGCACCATCGCATTCCTCAGCCATGGCAAAATCGAGACGGCAAATTCAGTCTTCAGTGTCTCCGTGGCTAAGAACACGCCGAGATCTCTGATGGCCTTGGC